CGGCAATCGCAGGCTCAGAGAGTTCTGGAATCGTGGCCAAATATGGAAACACTGAGATAAGAATACAAAGAAATACTAAGAAATACAAAGACAAGAAAATGATGAACCAAGAACTTCAAAACTGAATTACCTTCACAATCTAAAAGAAGATACAAAACTGCAGGCACACACTCATTCCCAGGCAAAATACTGACAAGGGACTAAAACAGCCAAGTGTTTGTCCAAAGCAGCCTGCGTATACGTGATGACTGTTTTTCTTTCCCCTTTTCTGAGTTTTTAAAAATTACTCTATAATGAAATCATAGAAATTGTTTATAATGAAAACTTATATCCCCATTTTTAATCTTGTCACAATTTAAAACGACAATTTTTATTTTTACTGAATAGTTTATAGAATATTAACACTCAAACCCTTGTAGAATTTAATTTAACACACACACACACACACACACAAGCCAACAATGTAAGTTGGTCTGAAAGCCAACTGACCTAACAATCATTTGGGCAACTAAAAATTAGCACTCTGAATCAGAACACAATTCCAGGAAGGAAAAGGTTTAAAGATGTCCCAGCAGCAAGAAAAGAAAACTCCAAACAAGTACTAATGACAGTTTACTTTTACCAAACAGCTTATCAAGTGATCTGTGTAAATACTGCAAATGTTACAAAGCCCCTCAAAAGTCTCAACATTATTTTTACAGATTAAAAACAAATAAAGGCCAAAAACACCACCAATAATTCAATTAAAATAACTCATGCTTGTGTTTACATAAAATTTGATGAGCATAATATATTTGTCACACCACTGCAATTATTCTCTGAAAATAATACTCTAAATATTATTTTGACAATGTAATTACAGTGTTTACCTCAAGATTGGTAACAAAACGCTAGCACAGATACGCTGCTAAAAATCCACCAAGAATAAGGTTCTCACAGAGAAACAGCCACAACACAGTAGGGGCACTTTATTAAGAACCAGAATACTTTTCGAAGGCTTGTATTAGGCTTGAACTAACATACTATAAAATTTTTTTAAGTTTCACTGTAGAATCCAAATTTCACTGTGGAATTCCAAACAAATTCAGGAACGCTGTGGACCGCCCTTTTCAAGAAAAAAGCAAAAAACACTATTTAACTCCCATTTGCCTCCTTGCCTCAGTAATATCCATCCAACTCTGCCTACAAATTCACATCATCTACGTAAAGCTGACACAAGTGGAAAGTAAAGACCTAGAACAGGGGAGAGATGGCCCATGTCATGGACTGGAAGACTCTGTATCATGAAGATGGCAAGTCTCCCCAAGTGGATCTACAGACTCCACCTAATTGCTAGTATGCACAATATAGAAATAACTTTTTTTTTTTTTAGGATTTTATTTATTTATTCATAAGAGACAGAGAGAAAGATGCAGAGGGAGAAGCAGGCTTCCCGCTGAGCAGGGAGCCCGATGCGGGACTCGATCCCAGAACCCTGGGATCATGAACTGAGCTGAAGGCAGACGCTTAACCATCTGAGCCACCCAGGCGCCCCTATAGAAATAACTCTTAAAACTCAACAACGGGGGCGCCTGGGTGGCCCAGTCATTGAAGCATCTGCTTCCAGCTCAGGTCATGATCTCAGCGTCCTGGGATGGAGCCCAGAGTCCAGCTCAGCAGGGAGGCTGCTTCCCCTCTTCCTTTGCCCCTCCCCCTGCTTGCACACACTCATTCTAAAATAAATAAAATAATTCTTTAAAAAAAAAAAAAAAAACTCAACCACAAAAAGGCAAACAGCCCAATTAAAAACTGGGCAGAGAACTTGACGAGACATTTCCCCAAAGAAGATTTACAAATGGCCAAAACAAGCACATAAGAATATGTTCAGTATCATTAATCATGAGGAAAACACAAATCAAAACCACAATGAGACACCACTCCGCAACCATCAGGATGACTATAACCCCCAAAAAGGAAAATAAACACCGGCGAGGATGTGGAGAAACTGGAATACTGTACGCTGTTGGTAAAAATGTAAAATAGTTCACAGGTGCTGAGAAAAGTCTGGCAGTTCCTTAACAATTTAAATAGGAAATTGACCCGGCAATTCTACTGCTAGGTATATACCCAAAAGAACAGAAAACCGGGGCTCCAATAAATGCGTATACAGGCATGTTCAGAGCAGTGCTGTTCTAAATGGCCAAACGGTGGCACCACAGCCAAATGGCGGAAACAACCCAAGTGGCCACCAATGAATAAACGGATACACAAAACGTGCACACAACAGAGTATTATTCAGTCATCTAAACAAACGAAGTATTGATACCTGCTACAATATACGTACACCCTGAAACACATTCTGCTTCCTGAAAGAAGCCAGGCGAACAGGTCCCATAATTCTCGGATGCCACTTACATGAGAAATCCAGAATTGGTAAATCCATAAAGACAGAATTCAGGCAAGGGAAAACAGAACCCTCAGTGGGTAGAGGCTTTCCTCTCGGAACCATGGAAGTATTTGCAATTAGATGTGGTGGTTGCACAACATTGTGAACACTCTCAAGGCCACTTGGTTGTTCACTTTAAAGCAGTTACTTGTACACTGCGTGAATGTCATGTAAGAAATACGTTCCTTAATTAAATTCAACTGCAGCTGCCAAAACTGTGAAACACTCTGACACACCAACACAACACAACACAGGCGTATGAAGACGTGCCCTCTGGCTGGTGAAAAGCCAGGCCACCAGCCACACAACCAATTTCTCCATCAGTGACAAACCAGGTCATAAAAAGTGTCAGAAATTGGCTCCTTTAGGTTTTCTGTTAGATCACGGACTTGCTTCAGTGAAGAGAACATCGATCCCGTGAAACAGTGTTTTATCACATAAACACCACATTCTAAGTCTTTTGTGGCTGATCCGGGATGGAGCAGAGCAGCCCAGGGAGTCCAGGGAAGGCAGGAGGGCACATAACGTGCTGACAGAAGGACGGGAAGCAGAGGGAGGGGGTAATTTCAGGAGACATGGCGCTCAGTGGGTGTGCGGGGATGGGGTTCACCGCGCCAAGGAAGGGCTGGCTCGCTCTGATGGCTCTTTAATCACAGCATCCGTGCGGTGCTTCCTCTTGGGTGTCTTATTAGGAATACATCATCACCAGGGAAACCCTCTTCTGCCCACCATGGCATTTCGGCGCTGCCAGTAACACACTATCCACCACATCAGTATTTTCCAGTAATCATAAAATGCAGTACGTTCTGAACTCTTTCTGAATTGCCATACCACACACAGACTTCAAAAATAGGCTGCTTTTCCATGTGACAGAGGGAAGTCTGGATTTTACTGCTGATTTTTCATCCCCCAATTTGAGCACGGAGGCTTCTGCTGTATCATAAAATGGAGCTACAAGAAGATCTTTAAATATGTAACATCTTAAAAACACTTTCCCACTAAACCCTACACCCTATCAGTTTCTTGACAATACCTGAGAAATTACCGCTGTCCAAAAAAACATAGAGCAAACACTTTGTGCGCAGAGTCGAAGATGATGTAATTAATTCAAGAGATAATTACAATTTCCCAAAGGAAGAACTCTAAATCAAGTAGAAAGATGCACGAATTTTAACAAAGGAGTTTTACATGAGAACACGACGGAATCACAGAATAGTAGGAGAACTAAACCAAGCAAGCAGCACCTCTGACAGCTAATGTAGCCACCGTACTCTGTGCCTGTTTCTCCACCTGTGAAGAGGCTGCCACCTCGAGTTCCCTACCTGCCTGCCAACAGCAGCAAGTGTATCAACGTGAGAGAAGCAGGCCTCACTGTTTAGTCAGTGAAGGCACTGAGAGCTAACGGAAATCAATCTGTAAATCAGATCAGATTTTACAAACAGCTGCAGATTTCTCCTTTAGAGGAAGCATTTGTTAGATTATTATTAAGAAGAATTCTTCCAACCGACAATCTAGTACATCTTCTTATAAGATGGACATTTATATTAAGATTTTCTTACTTAAAAAATAAACAAACAAATAAATAAAAAGATTTCATTATTAAATGACTTGGGTTTGCCCATAAGTGTTTCAAGTCCTTGGATAAAGAGGTCGTATGTTAAAGTGCTGTTTACTGTTATGATATTACGATAATAACCCCTGTCCAAAGGACAAGTATGGATGCTAATAGTTTAGGAACCAAAAACATTCACCAAAAAGTCTAAAAAAGCTTCCTGGTCTTCAAATTAAGAGGCCTGGTTTTTCTCTTAATCCCTTATCAACAGCTATGAACAATCAGAGCTTCCTTCCCTCTCGGTCACGCCATATACTTGACTTACGTAACATTTTTAGTGTGGACTCCCCTCGCTGCATTGTAAACACGCAGAGGCAAAGATTCTTCTGTCTGCTCTCCTCACTGTTGGGATCACACCCAGCACCGAGAACAGGCATGCGACATCCACACGAGTAATACAGAGACACTGTATTACTTTCCAAGGGCTGCCCTAACAAAGCACCACAGACTGGTCGGCTTAAACAACGGGAATTTATTTTCTCAGACTTGGAGGGTAGAAGTCCAAGATCAAGGTGTGGGCAGGGTTGGTTCCTTCTGAGCCCTGCTCCTGGGCTTGCAGATGGTGGTCCTCTCGCCGTGTCCTCGCCTGGTCGTCCCTCTGTGTCTGTCTGTGTCCTGACCTCCTTTTCTTACAAGGACACCAGCCATAATGGATTAGGGCCCACCCGTAGGACTCCATTTTACCTTACTGATCTCTTTAATGGCCCAGTCTCCATATCCAGTCACATTCTGAAGTGGTAGGAGTTGGGGCTCCACCATATGGATTTGGGGGAGAGTTGAGGGGCGTAACTCAGCCCACAACAGAGCAAGGAAAGGAAGTTGTGGCAACTTTCTCTTATGCTAATTCGCTAACATCACTAAATAAGTTTCTCCGTATCACGAAATACAAAACATTTGCTTTAACTCAAAGCTGTGGTTTTTAAATCCTTTTCAAAGGTACAAATAACCCATGAATCACAGTACCTGTCAACAGGGATTCCTGTTCAACCCGCAGTTCACGAAAAAGAAGAATCAGATCAACAGCGACGCCAATTGTATCCAAGTTCCTATAAAAGATTTTTTTAAAAAGACAAAGTCAGACCCATTAATTTTCTTGAGCCTGCATTTCAAATGATGATCCGGGGAACGGAGCTGCGACTACTGGCTCACGGCATCTGTGGTAAACAGAATCGTGACCCCTCGAGCTGTCCGCAACATCATCTCAAAACCTGCGAATGTGTTACCTCCCAAGGCAAAGGGGACCTCAGGGTTGTGAGTAGATTCAGGATCTTGAGATGGAAAGATCACCCTGGATTAGCCAGTGGGCCCAATGGGATCACAAGGGTCCTTAAAAGAGGAATACAAGGGGCGCCTAGGTGGCTCAGTTGGTTAAGTGACTGCCTTCGGCTCAGGTCATGATCCTGGAGTCCCGGGATCGAGTCCCGCATCGGGCTCCCTGCTCGGCAGGGAGTC